CGGAGCTCCTCCTCAGCAGCTGAAGAGGACCGCCATTGCTGAACGCGCCGCCTCCGGAAGTTTCTTTAAATTTTAGCTTTGTGTTTTTATAGTTGCATTCTTTCCTGCAAAGTGCTTAGAGATTTTTCTGTTACACAGTCTGTACACTGCATAAATGAATGAAGAAATAAATTATTTAATCAATGCATGTGAACACAGGATCCAACTCCTAGGGGCTGAGGTCCCTTTGCCCCCCCCCATAAAATATTTGAGGCAGCTGGTCCCCCGCAAAACTGATGGGCATTGCCATTTAAATAGTGTGCATGTGCCACATCTTATGATCAGTTTATGTGGGGTGGGGCTTACCTACCCACCCATCCCAATATTTTATTCAAGTTGGCACCCCTGCATGCAAACATAAAAAGAGCTCAAACCAGAAAGAAGTCCTTTTAGTTCAGCATCCTGCTGTTGCCAACCAGATGCCTGGATTAATTATAACTGGATTTTTTATTTAAAATGTAACCAAGAGCACAAGAAAGACACGTTTAGGGTTTTGGTTTTTGCTGGTGTTCAAAGGAAATTCAGTAATCAAACAGAAAATATGCCTGCAAGTGAATTAAGAAGGAACCAGTGTATTTAAAAAGAGCTGGTATCTGGCCAACCTGTTTCTATAAATGCAGACACCCAAGTCTCCTGCATGCAATTAAAACCTTTATGGATTTAAAACAACAACAACAACTTTGGGAACATCTAGATGACATTTTGCCAAGGCTACACTATTAAATGTCTTGGAGAAAATGTATCATTTTTCATTAAAATTGAACAGTTACATTTCCACAGCTGAGCAATGACTTCTGAACAGAGCTGTGAGTTCTAGATTCTTATTAGGAATATCATTAGAAATTAGCCTTGGGGTAGAGGGGAAGGAAAGAAAGGGACGTCTTTAATAACTAGCACAATATTTAAATCCTGTAAAGTGAAGGGACAGAATATAGGAATTATTTAAACTGTCTGATGGTTTTGGTCTCACAGAGCTTCTATTAAATGAAACTGAAATGGGATGTATGTTTTCTAATGGTTATGTCAGTATTATTTCACACAGAATCCGTGAAAAGGAACTCAATTAGGGCGAGCAGAAACAAAATAGAATAGTGCTCTTGTGCTTTTGGTAGTTTTGTAGAAGAGAAAATTCCAGTAGATGACTTTTCCAGCCCTATTAATTAGGGTGGCCACTTAGCAATGGAGTCTCCAACGTTTTTCGGTTAGTGGGCGCATTTGGAATTTGGAGAGAGTACCATGGGTGCCCATCACAAAATGGCTGCCACTTTGAGAAGAGTAGAAAAAGAGACAAGTGCCAGCAGCAGTCACCGAAGCACTTGCTCTCAAGAGCAAGTCCAGAATGGAAGGGATGGGGGGACTCCAACCTTAGCAGCCAACAAAATGTGGGAATGTTTAAGGAAGAATAGGCAAAGCCCAAATTTAGCAAGGAGCAGTGTTTTTTCAACAAAGACTTACTGAGACATTTGTGGGCACCACAAGATGTAATGCCGGACACCCTGGTTTCCATAGACACTATGCCCCTTGGCTTCGTATCATCAAAAAAGGGGCTATGTGCCACTGAAAATGTAATTTTCTAAAAGAAAAAAATGTACCCCAATTTGCATAAATTTGCATATATTGATTTATCTGAATTGCATAGACCAATCTCTTTGTAGATACAAATTTAGAAATAATTAAATTTCACAGGAGGAAAGCTAATTAATTCCCCACTCAAAATACAGTAAGCCCACAATTTACATGCATTTAATTTGGGCGGATTTAGTTTTATGCGTCTGGCAGAAATAAAAAAAGAGGGCAGAAAGGGGGCCAGGTTCTGGGAGAAATAACTTTGAGATTCCTACTCATCATTTAACCCAATGTGTCTGACTATATGTGATTTTGGCTTTAGGCACAATCCCTGGAACATACCCCCCGCATAAACTGCAGGCTTACTGTACTGCTAATAAATAAACTATTCAATGAATTGGTAATTCATCCACAAATGAGCAGGTCCACTTCTGATTTCTCACCCAGATCAAAATCAATACCACTTAAATGAATTACACCCCATTCACCGGTCATCACCCCTCCGAATGAATTAAATAAATAATATGCCTATTTCCTTCCAAGAAATATATTCAAGGCATAGAATCATAGAATTGTAGTTGGAAAGGACTCCAAGAGGCATCTAGTCCTTCTGCAATGCAGGAATCTCAACTAAAGCATCCACGGCCTATGGCCATCCAACCTTGACTTAAAAACTTCCAATGATGGAGAATCTTCCACCTTCCAAGGGAGTCTACTTCTCTCCTCTTACCATCAAAAGGTTCTTCCTAATGTTTAGTCAGAATGTCCTTTCTTGTAACTTGAAGCCACTGGTTCTGGTCCTACTCTCTGAAGCAGGAGAAAACAAGCTTGATCCTTCTTCCATGTGACAGCTTTTTAGATATTTGAAGATGTCTATCATATCTCCTCTCTGTCTATCATATCTTTTCTAAACATACCCAATTCCCTCAACCATTCCTCATAAGGCTTGGTTTCCAGACTCTTGATCATCTTGGTTGATCTCATCGGCACACATCCCCACTTGTCAATATCCTTCTTAAATTGTGGTGCCCAGAACTGGACACAGTATTCCAGGTGTGGTCTGACCAAGGCAGAATAGAGTGGTACTATTACTGCCCTTAATCTGCACACTATACTTCTGTTTATGCAGCCTAAATAGTATTAGCTTGTTTTTTTGTTTTTTTTTGTTTTGTTTTTTTGCTGCTTGCATCATGCTGTTGAATTACATTAACTTTTTCACTTGTACTGGCAAGCTAGGTGCCCACCCCCCAATCTTATATTTGTGCGGTTGGTTCTTCCTGCCAAAGTGCATTCCTACCTTGCATTTGTCCCTATCAAAATTCATTTTGTTATAGTTTTGGCCCAGATCTCCAATCTGTTAAGGTCATCTAGAATCCCAATTCCATCTTCTGTGGCAGCTACCAATGCTTAAAATTCTTCATGCATCATAAAACTCAACAATATGTCATAAACTCAAAACCCTAAAAATCTATAGAAAAGGCAAAATGACTGACCTAAACTAGGCAACTGTAGAAAATTAATTCTAATTCAATCTGGGTCAGGGTTCTTATTAGGAGATGAGGTGGCTTTACTTCATTAATTGGCAGGACAGCAAGTTAGAGTTGTCACTGCCACAAGTCATATATTGATTCCTGAAATGTCCTTGGAAAGTGGTTTATAATGATGTCCTGTTCTGCTCCCTTCAGGGAAGTTGTAGGGGGCCAGGGCAGTATGGATGCCCCATGAACCCACTGAGAGAGATGTTTCCTTTTCTTTCCCAGGGGCATTTGATGATTCAATTCACGGTGCACAGCAGTAATGACCTGTGAGCTTGCTGATTTGTTATGAAAAAGGAAGTCTACCACCCACCACACAATTTACACTTCTGGACAAACAATGCAAGAGTACAACAGCTCAGACAGTGCTGGGAAAACTGGGCTGCCTGGTATGAAAAGGGGCACCTGGCCTACTTCCCATAATAAGCTTCATCTGGCCAAAACCCTCTTCTACACAATGCAGCTCAGTCTAAACTTCTTCCAGACACCTAACAAGTTTGGCTTACTGACTTTCAAGGAAAGAGATTCCACAGGCTCCTCTCCCAAATTCTCCCATTGTTGACCTGCTGTTAGAGCTGAGTTATAGTAATGTTTAATTTGGGCACCTCCCCTGGCTTGTACTGAGGAAGGAAATACTACCATACCTTGTATTCTGGCCCTCTCCTAAAAGAGAAAAGTAGCTCACTCTATCTTCAGGTAGCATTTCATCTATAATCAGCTGCTGGAGTCACTGCAGAGCTGGCTGGCTGGATCTGCAAGGGAGTTTCCCTCCTCAAGGGGAATATATAAGGGGTGGGAGAGGCAAATAACATGTATTTCCAAGAGGAATTGATTTAGTAGGACATTGCTTGAGGGACTTTTGCCTCTTCCAACACCATCTCCCTGTCAGGTGGATTACCAGCAACTGGACTAGGTTACAGCTCTGCAATTATCTTTCCTGGTCTCTTCCGTGGAGCAGAAAAACTCTTCCAATGTTTAATTTCAACAAATATGTTGCCTTTATTGCTCCTGGCTATGATGTTTCATCCTCTTTGCGCCAGGCACAACCTAGACCTACTTGTGGCGTAACAAGGCTCTATTCAGTCATGGCTCAGTAGTCAACTTCACCTGGTCTTTCATTTGCTTCCAATGTCACAATTTTCAGACATTTTCTTTCACCAGTTCGAAAATGTTTGGACTAGTGACACTATCAGCATGCAGAACACAATCTATCATTGTGTACATTCAGTATAAGCTACTGAACTTTATTTTGATTGGTTTTGTATATGTTCGTAGAATATTTTATTATACAACTGTACACCACCTTGAAATGCATGCATACAGACATAAATATCATAATAAAAAATAAACTAAAACCAGTATGTGCTAAAGGTATCATGTTTGCAGGGATGTGTATTGTCTTATTGCTACCTGTCAAATGTTATTCTGAATTATCCAGTTGTCTGTTTAATCCCAACCTGAACTGGAATGTGTGTGTGTGTGTACCAAAAGTCCAAAAGCAGTTTCCAGCAATAAAAATATAGATGGAAACCAGATACAATTTAAAAATAAAAAAGCAAGCAGTACGAACAAAGGCAACCTAACACCCAAGAGTAGGCTGAGCAAGTCATCAAAAAGCCAGGGAGTTGACTAGGAGTTGACTTGGTGACAGAAGACCAACAACAGCATTGCTGTCCATGCATCTAAAAGGAGAGATTTCCAAAGTCAGTGTGCACAGCACAATTTCCCGCAGCCCTACATAGTGTGTCATACAAAGTGAGGCAGTTTAAGCGCACACATAATTAACCTATTTATTTATTTAATAAAAAATTTATACTGCTTGATTGTAGAAAAAACCTCAATGGTACGCACCCAACTCACCAATGGTGCAATGGTCCCCTTCCCATCCAGGGCTGCATTCACACTTTCCATCTTTGCACTGCCCATGTTCAGTGCAGTGAGAAGTACATGTGCGCTCCTCGCATGTTGGGCCTACCCAGCCTTCTTCACACTGGCAGGTTCCTCTTGCACAAATACCATGGCTGCCACAATCCAGTACGCAGAGTTCTTTGAAAACAGAAATTAGCAGACCCAGTTAATTTAAGAAAGTAATAACAATGAAAGATTAATGTTCACGTCCGCAATTTCCTGAACGCAAGGCCAGGTTTGTTCAATGGGGTGGGTGTCTTGGTTCATGAACTACAGATGCTCTTACAGGGGAGCAATAAAGTTTTATTTAAGGCCTGCAATGGTCAGGCTACAGGTTCAGAACACCAAAGGGTCAACTAGAGAACAACAACCAGGGGTCTTAGACCAGACAAAAGCTACAAAGATGTCTTGACAAATGGACATGCCTCTTCCACCTGCTGTCAAAATAGAGGCATGTCATGCTCACTTGTGAGACACACCATTTGAGACAGGTGTGCTTGGAAGCAGACATTACTACAAAAAGAATGTAGTCAGTTCCCAGTAGTGTAGGTCAGTTCCCAGTAGTGTAGGTGGTTCTCGTTCCTTGGTGACAGGATGGAGGCTGGCCCCTCTGGCTCTACCTTTTTCTATCCTGTCTCCCCTGGCAGGTTGAAACCCTCCTTCCCACTGCTAATGAATCCCCCTGCAATATGGATGGGGCACAACCGGGAGCCAGTGAGATATATCCCCTTCCTCCAGCCTTACCCTCCCTCTCAGGCCTCACCCTGCAAGGAGTGTCCTCCTCCTCCTGTTCCTCACCTGACAGCAATTGCCACTGAAATTCCCAAGCCAGTTAGGAGAACAGGGCTCATTAAATTCGGAAAGAGATTCTCAAACATACACACATACACGATTGCACAATATACCATACATAATTCCACAATCCTTTGGACCACACTTCTGAAATAGCACCCAACTCATTGGACCTGGGAAGCACATAGGGAAGGTTCGGGAGGGATTACTTTGAAGCAATAATAAATCCAAAGGATAAAAGCTTTATTGCCTGACAGTTTTGAATCCACTAGGAGGTTATTTTCAGAAGGGTTGCGAAGGTGAGCTTGTAAAGATCCCTGGGTCCCAGTGCAACTCTGGATTTCTCTTCGGAATCCCTAAATAGGTCTGAGCCTAGAAAATAATAACTCAAAACTAAAGCTACCAGCCAAATCCTCTTTATTCCGTCACTCAGAAAAGAAATGCATGACAATATGGGCTTCCACATTTTTGAATCTGTAGGATGAGTACAAGGCAATTTGGTTATCAGGAAACTGTCTGTTCCGATTGTCATACCAGGGAGTGCAAACATCATTATCTTCCATGATGTGAATTATTGTTCTTATGGTCCTAGCATTTGGCTGTGTTCCAGAGATGAAAAGAAGTCTCTTTTTTTCTTGCATCTACCTAGGTTTTGGTTTTTTAGTTATTATTATTATTATTATTATTATTAGTAGTAGTAGTAGTAGTAGTAGTATTGGTGGGTGTGTTTTTTACAAATGATCTCATTAGGAATGAGTAGTGAGGTGGCCAAGACTGTTGGGGATGCTAAATTGTTCATGGACGTTAAAATAAAATGGGTTGTGAAGAGCTCCAGAAAGGATGTTTCCAAACTGAGTGAATGGGTGCTAAAATGGAAAATGCAGTTCAATGTAAACAAATGTTGAGACAAAAATTACATCTTAATCTCACATATACACTTAGGAGGTCTGCACTAGAGGTGATGGGCCAAGAATGAGACCTTGTGGCCATAGTAGATAGTTCAAAGAAGATGTGTGGTAGTTGCGAAAAAGGCAAATTCTATTTCAGTGATCATTAGGGGGGTGAGGAACTGAAAATAAAACTGCTATCATAATGCTGTTATACAAATCTAAGGTGTGACTGCATTTGGAATACTGTGTGCAGTTTTGGTCACCTCAACTCAAAAATAATATTGTAGAGTTGGAAAAGGTTCATAAAAGAGCAACCAAGATGATGAGGGGGGTGGAGTGACTCCCCCATGAAGAATGGCTGCAATGCATGGGACTTTCTAGATTAGAAAAAAAAGGCGAGTAAAAGGTTAAATTACAGAATTTTATAAAATTATGCATGGTCGGGAAACAGAAAGGTTTTTCCTCCCACTTTCATAACACCAGAAGTAATGGGCATCAAATGAAGCTGAATGTTGAAAGATGCAGGACAGATAAAATGAAGTACTTCAATAATAATTAAATTTTATTATTTGCTTTTTTTGCCAACCCAAAGCAATTTACAATATTTTAAGCAAACACACACACACACACACACACACACACCCCAGCATAAAAAAAATCTAAAAGACAATTCTATTTAAACATGCCACCCATGCAAATTAAAACATATCACCCATGCAAAAATGCCCAAGGGCTAACCAAAAAGTACTGTTTTTGCCTGGCATCTCAAGATATATAACGATGGTGCCAGGCAAGTCTCCCTGGGGAGGGCATTCCCCAAGCAGGGAGCCACCACTGAAAAAGCCTGTTCTCATGTTGCCATCCTCATGCCCACCCACGGTGGGAACATATGAAAATGGGCCTCCATTTACGATGGCAGGGTCCAGTTGGGTTCATATGGTGAGAGATGGTCCTAAAGGTAGTTTTAATTGATTAACAGAACATAAATCAATGTATTAAATCCTATGCACTTGTTTGAGAGTAAGCCTGGTTGAACTCTATGGAACTTACTTTTCAGTAGGCATGCATAAGACCACACTATTATAAGCATTATTTATTAAAATTCTATACCACCCTTCCTCCGAGGATCACAGGGCAATTTACAATATAAAATCTATCTTACTGACTCTGTTGCATAGTATTTCCTGTGGCAAAGACTCACTGAGGATCCAGAGGGCAGTACACCAAGACAGAAGGAGCGATACAACTGTTAACTCTAACCAAGGGCCAGAGGTGAAACAGAAACCCTTGACAGCCCGTAACTTTGATTTCCCTGTTGTTGTTGAGCAGCTGCATCAGGGACAAATATAAAAATAGCTACCATCGACCTCATCACACCCCACCTTTCACTTCTCACTGGAAGAAGTCTCTGACATACCACTATTATATGTGGATAATTTGCATTATTTCCCCTATATAAAAAAGGAGGTGAGAAGATCCAAGTAATTTTAGCTCAATTAATTTCTTGGATGTTGAATCTAATCATATTCCATAAATTTATTAAACAAATTAGAAGACTGAGTTATCAAAGGTCTCAGAAATTACGTATGCCATATTTTGTAGATTAAAAGGCAGCCTTAAATTCAAATTATGGCTGAACTGAGCCCCCATCTGCAATATACATTTAAAGCAACATCATACAATTTTAATAGTCCCAAATAATTATGGGAAGTGTAGTTAGTAAATGGTAATTGAGAGTTGTAAGGGGACCCCTATTCCACTCACACAGTTAAAATTTCCAGAGTTCTGCGGGAAGAGGGCTTGACCATTGAGCTGCTCTGAGAACTGGAGTTTTGTGAGGGGCACAGGAGGCTCCTAACAACTCTCAGGACACTTAACAAACTACAGTTCCCAGGATTCTTTGGGGGATGTCATGGCTGTTTAATGTGGTATGATACTTATTTAAATGTGCAATGCAGGTGGGTCTCACACTACAAAGCCTTCAGAAGTAGTTCTGCAGTGGCCAGAAGATCAAGATCTCTGAGAATAATTTTAGACTGATATTTTAAAATTTATTTCTTTGGAGGAAAATATAGAGGAAAGCACCTATCTCAAGTGGGATATACGATGCTCAATAAAATACAGATAAAATAAAGAAAAACTATTTTAAAAGTATGCCTAAAATAATCTTAGATATGCAGGTATAACATGGCATGGTATGAGGAAGATAATCGGACATAAAACAGAAGACATGTCTTGCTGCAGCATCAGGCCAAAGACGTATCTAGTCCAGCAATCTTTTTCGACAAATGCTGAAGATGTAACTCTTCACCCTGGCTGTTGACACTTCGGGTGTATATTTTTAGGACTCATTTTATTTTTGGTTATTATAAATTGTCTTAAACTATCTAATGTTGTGTTTTAATGGTTGTAACCCACCCTGGAACCTTACGGTGAAGAGCAGGTAATAAATTGCAATAATACGAAGGAGGAGGAGGGAGATTTGGTGTGAGCAAGCAAGCTTTGAGTTGAAGGGTGATTGACTGAAATGTGAAGATCGCTTCTACTCAATGGAGGATTCCCACACAATGTAGAACCTGATTTCCCAAGGATCTGCATCATATAAGGAGCTTCTATGAGTACAGAATCCCACTGCTTCAGAATGTTGCTCTTGAAATCATGGAGAACGATGAGGATGCAGCTAGCAAGCTCATATTGCTTCTTCACAATGACTGTGCTGTATTTCTGAATTTGGACAAGGCCTGCATAGGGGTTTTGTATGCAAATAATATTACAATGAAATTACAAGAAATTCATTGTTTCTGTCCTAGGCTGCAATTTATATGACTGCTATAATGTTACTCCATAGGTTATAGGATTACATGAAGCTGCCATATGCTGAGTCAGATTACTGTCTACACTGACTGGCAGCAGCTCTTCTTATGCAGAACCAGGGAACCATGGGCTTATTCCAACGTAGGGACCTTGAGTACATGGAAGTCAAGGGCAGGACCAGCAGCAGGCATGACTCTGGCCCACCATTCACACATTGATTTCTACATGGATGACCGTGAGAAGATGGCGCAAACAGGAAAGTTATTGCCTTGCCTCAAAGGACTGATGCCTCATGAATTATTGACTGTGAAAGCCTGTGAGAAACATTTTATATTTGCACACTATATTTTGGGGCTTCAGAGCAAGTGTAGCTGCAATAGACAGATATGGATAGAGAGAGTTATTTAGTTCTCAAGCTGCACCCCAGTCTCAAAGTCATGAGCCCAAGAAAGATAATGAAACTAAGACAGGAACATAGAGGGGGTGTGAAATGCCACGTCTTTTTGCACCAGTCCTAATCTCCCAAGAGTGGCAAGAAATGATGAACCTGAAATAATGAAAGGAGTGGCTTCAAGCTTTTAAAATGCCCAAGACTGGCCTTTCTCAAGCTATGTTTCCTGCAAAAAGAGACTTAATTTAGAA